CAAACCTGGCCACACTTTAGAAACACTTTGGGAGCTTTTAAAAAATACAAAGGCCCAGGCCCCCACCCAAAAACCGATCAAATCAGAATCGGGGGTGGGGAATAGGTATCGGCATTTTTTTTATAAACTCCACGGGTGGTTCTGTTGGGCTGCCAGATGAAGAACCATTGAAGCAGAGTCCAGATTCGCATTGCCTGACACCATTGTCACTTGGTGACATGTGCCTGCAGAGCACTTGAACTGTGACTGGTCTGAACTGAGATGTGTGACCAATAACCAGATTTCAAAGATTCAGTACCAATAGCAACAACAAAAGCGCAAAATATCTCATCAACATTTTCATATTGATTATACACTGAAATGATAATATCTCAGATATACTGGATTAAATTAAATGTTATTAAAAAAATTAACTGTTGCTTGGGGCGCCTGGGTGGCTCAGTCGGTTAAAGGGCCAACTCTTTGATATCAGCTCAGGTCGTGATATCGCAGTGGTGAGATCTAGCCAAAGTAGGGCTCTGTGCTCAGCGTGGAGCCTGCTTAGCTCTGCCCCCACTCCCGCCCCCCACCCAGCCTCCCCTGCGCATGTGTGTGTGCACTCTCTCTCAAAATATATAAATGAATTTTTTAAAATTCCCTGTTTCTTTTTGCCTCTTTAATGTGGCTACTAGAACATTTTAATTACATAGGTGGCTTGTATTTATGGTTCCCACTGTTGGACAGAGCTGGTCAAAACTAATACTCTTTTCTCACAAACAGAGAAACTGAGGCAGAGAAGCATAATGAATTGAAGGCAGCACTTAGGGGATTCCCTCTTCCAGTGTCAGGCTTTTCCTGTTGCCATAAACCATCCGTTTGGCAGAGTTATGGCAGGGCCTTTGAGCCATCCATCGGATTTCAAATCTTTCTCGCTTTTGTCTTGCTAATCATTTCTTCTAAGATTTGATATGAAAATCTACTTCCCTTATGGAAAAATGTTCCCTCTCCCATTCTACACACACTTGTGACCTGGTATTGCAGGGTTACTCTGGAAGCAGAGTCACCAGAACGGGTACTCAAAAACAAATCTAGAAAAACATTAGCATAAGAAAAATGCAGAGAATGGACCATTAAGGCTTTTAAGATGTAGATAGTTGAGCTCTAGCTTGGGAATGTCTTACCATTACCATGTGGTAGTTTAATAAATAACCGGCATTCTGAAAGCCATCTTCAACACGGCCTTCAGTCCCTGCTCAGAAGTGAGCAGTTTGAGAATTGAGCATATTGTCTTTCCTCCCAGAAGGCAGTGTTTTTCTGGACAAGGCTGTCATTGCAGGAAGGCAAATCAGGCTGTTCATAATGGTATGCCACAGCATACCTAGGTACCCTGGTGGAAACAGATTTGATCCTCAATGCCTTCTATCCTCTGGTGCACAGATCAGTACGTGGTCATTCAGAGGCCAAACAGCGTCGTTGCTTACTTAAGAGGAGAAGATCTTGTTTTGATAAGTGATAGGCCCCTACCAGGCCTGGCAAATGGAGCTAAATGTATTTCTTCTTATAATCAGCTAATTCAAGCAAAAACAAAGATGTTTTTTGTTGCATGTGGTTTTCCCCCTTGGGAAGCCAGCAGAGAGAATTGCATAAAATTGGCTGAAAAGTGTTGTATTTGAGGAATCATGCAACACAGGGGCTCCTCAGTGTAATAAAAGAATAAAAGAGACCTGGATTCTGATATAAAGTGTTCATGCAAAGAGCTGGAAAGGAAACCTACGGGTCAAGCCAAATAACACATACAGTAGATGCATTCAATATTTCTATTGAGATATTCTTGTTCCCCATCCTAAACACAGCATAACCTAAATGTCATCTTAAATCAGATGTGTGGTGCTCTGGAGCCCCCTATGTTGCATGCGTGATTTCTATTAGCTGTGATTAGTCCAGTTTTGCCAGTCAAACCTCAAAGAGCATACTTCTAGACGCAACTCACTTCTGATGTAATATTCACCTCCAAATACTCTCGTATATACCAACCTGGGAAGATAATATATTAGAGAGAGGTTCTGGGCAAAAGTACATCTGCCAGAATGAAAATAGCACTCGTGGCTCTTATTCGACAGAAAGAAAGATTATTTAACTTTAAATAATTGCTCGGCTCCCTTCTTCAAAGGTGATAAAGAAAAAAAGGAAGTGACAAAAGTGACTGCCTTATTCTAAAATGGTCTTTTGGACCATCTTTAAGTTCTGCCTGGTTTTTAGTCTCAAATCAAATCGGGAGGGCACAGTTTAACAGGGCATGTCTAATAATAACGGTGAAATGAGAAGAATGGTTTTCCAATAAGGAGGTCAATGTGAAAAAAAAATTAACGTTACAGATCTATCAGAATAAACAATAGAAACTACAGTTTTTACAGTCAGGGCACTCATTCAAAATATCTGATAAAAAAAAAAAAAGTTGTCTTTGAAAGGTTACGGATCAAAAGGCTTAAAAAGAGCACAGTATCCAAAGCCATAGGTAATGTTTCGTTCATGACCAGGGTATTTATGGCGGCCTGGCTCATGGAAAGAGAACTCGGCCCGGAGGCAGGGACTCCGCTTTTAGGCTCGGTTTGGTACTCTCGAGCTCTGGGCTTCGGTGAGCCCAGGGACCAGGCCTTAGGTTCTCCCCCGAGGAGTGATGAGGTTGGTCTGTCAGTGAGAAGGCCTCCCCAGCTCCAGCTCTCTATATGCCACAACAAGCCTTTCTATCTCACCATCAGCATCCTTGGTCCAGAAGGCATGCTTACTCTCCAAGGTTAGTTCAAGCCAAATGCCAACATGGTAGTTTTCAATCCTGGTTCATTTTTGGGTGGAGATTAGAAATGTAAACCTTGAAGAAAGAGAAGGAAGCGACTACAATATGTGTTTTTAAAGTGTTAAGTTGATTCTGATCAATTTCTCAGAACACAGAAAGAAGCAACAGTGTGAGCTTCAAGGAAAGAAACACAAGAATGCCAAAATAACATGCATTCAGACATTTACCCAAACTTTCTAAATTTTATTTTCAAAGTCCCAGAGCCTCAAGATGAGCTTCAAAAATTCTACTCTCGTTTCTGGCGTACTGTTATCACTACCTGAAAATTTATAAAAGCCCTCTCTCTCTCTTTTTCTCTTATGTTAAATCCATGATTTGTGATTCCCAACAATGGAATACTAATGGATCCTCAAAATCACGAATTGCCGATCTTTTCCTAATTATAAAGTGTAAGAACTTTTTAGGGAAAACATTAAACATGATGTCACTTTTAAAGTGTCAGAGTTTCTATTTAAAGCAATGTCACAAAACAGATAGCTTATTTAGTTTACAAATAGCGATACACAAAGGTTCTTTAAGTCTGCTTAGCATATCCAAAAGTGCTTCTTTCTCACACTTAAATGTTTAAGGCTATTGCCTCCCAGTTTATTACCTTATCTCAACTGCATAATGTTCTTAAATAGCATTCAGAGAGATAGTACTAGATTTAAATTTTTAAACACTAATTTATAAAAAGCATTGGTAGATTCCCATAATACAGCTGGTAGTCAAACTGGACAAGATAATGAATTGACTGAGATCATTGTTCCATCTTCATCCAAGAAAGCTGCCTCTAAAAAAAGATCTTAAATTGCTGTAGAAATCCAATTTGTAAGAAGCAAAAGAAGCGTATAGATGGGAAACACCAGCCATGATCACATTAATTTTGTGACTAACAGCACTGCTTTGAAGTGAAGAAGGAGAAAAAAAGATGACAAACATAATAAGTCCACTCAGATCCCCAATTTTAATCTAACCACGCAAGCAGAAGAAAACCAACTACAAAGTTCACGTCTTGAGGATACAGCAAACATCACCTTCCCACAGAACAATTTTCAGCTTAATAAGAAATTAACTCCAATGCTAAGGAAATACTATAGGACAGCAATGTACCGTTGCTAAAAGGCAAATTAGTAAGAAATCAGGAGACCAGGAACTTGACATTGGTACAAACAGCAAGGAAAGTCCATGATTAATTGGTTTTGAATCTGCAGGTGTGGGAACCTGACAGTTAGTTGTATGAAAATCTTCAATCTACTGTAATTGAAAAGCTATACAGGAAAAGTCTCTCTGGCAAACTACCATTCAATTAACCTCCTATTCAAATAAAAGCTGCAATGTCACAGAGGAGTTTCCATGCTTTTATGGGAACGTTCTAATAAACTCTCTACTTATGTAGAAACTATATAGGGTCACAACTGACTTCTTATTGACAGGCAGTTTATGGATATCAGCAATTTACATTCAGAAACAGCTTGAAGATACATCAATTGAGCAAACATGCTTATCCTCAGTCAAGTTGAAAAATACAAGTTGTTACGCATCAGTTAGGATTTTAAAATAACAGGTTTATATGAAATGCTACAAGCAAAGGAAAATGAGGACATTTACAGGGAAGCACAAGCGAGTTCTATTATTTTCTTTTTAAGTTTTAAAACTAAAGTAATAGCGTAATAGCTGATATTCAATCAACAGCATCCTATTTCAAAGGGAATACATATCTAGGTTTGTATGTGGGAAATGGTTTTTTTTGTTTTATTTCCATTTTTAGGTTTCTTTTTTAAAAACGCCTTCCTTCTTAAAACTTAAGTACTTATTAAAGTGATTCATGAAGGCCCATGGAAAAAGGAATTTTTACCTGACACATTATTTAACATGCTTCATAGCAGTTAGAACCTACTGCAGTTCACATGCTCATGAACATTATTTTACCCAGGAAATAATGGTCTTATTCACACACACACACACACACACACACACACATGCACACGCACGCACACACACACACACACACCTTCCACACAAAATGCTATACCAAGTCCCAGGAAACTGACAAAGGCAATATTAAAATTCAGTGTGAAGTAAGAATTCCATTTCTGAATTTCATCTATGAAGATACAGGACCGGCCTCATTTAACCAACTGCAAAGTTCCTTTCTGCTTCATAAGCATAAGAAACATCATCTTACCATTATCTGTAGAATAAAATCAGCAACGTGTTGCTTCCTGCAGTCACCAAATCAGGTTTTTTTCTTCCTTTCTTTCTAGTAACTTCTTTTTCACCAGCAAGATTAGGAAGAAAATAAAGCTTTGAGGGTTTGCCTCAGAATATCAGACCACAGATTGTGAAACTAGCTCTTAGTCAAAAAGAAGAAGAAGAGGAGGAGGAGGAGGAGGAGGAGGAGGAGAAGCAGGTCTGCTATTTTACAATCACTTCTGCAATCCAGGGGTACCTCCTGGCCTCCGGTACCTCCTTCCCTCCCTCGTTCGCTAAGTTTCTTTTAGTAATGAGACTAATTTTTCCAGTAGCCTTGAACTCCCCCGATTTGACTGACATGGAAAAGGTGACTAAAAACTTGTAGAACTGTCTAGCCTCCAAGCCTACACAGAATCAACTTTGTTGGAAGTGTGGAAGAACCCCTCGCAAGCAGCTACTTGCTCCTTGCGACTCCTGCACTCCACCGCACACACCACGAAATAACAGTGCGCCATCTAGCTAGCAAGTTGCACTCTCCATTCTAGAAGGGGGGACGGACACCTTCAAACCCTGGGAGTTAAGAACTTGTCAGGGTTCAGCTGCTCTGAAGGTCCAATTGTTTATTTAAATAAAAAAAAATATCGCTACTGAGATAATCCACATCGAGTGGATATGGGAAAATTTAGGTTATAATGGCACTACAAACTTTTACATCTAACTTTGATTTACAAGATAAAAGCAAGTTTTAAATTAAAAGGGCTTTCTGTTAATAGAGCTTATTATTCTGAAGACGGGGAATGATTTTCTTCGAAAGTTGTCCCTGGGTGCATGCCTATTATCTTTGCTTTTCCCCTTCCACTAATGAGCATTTATCTAAAGAGCCTGTTAATCCTCTGATGTGTGCTTCTGGTCAGAGGTAACAGTTTGAATAAAACCACTAATCACTGATCACTAAATCACTGATCATTAATCACACTCTCCAGTGCTGGTGACCCGGGCCATTTTTTCCTTGAGGTCTATACATCACAAACAAGAAGTTTCACATTTTAGATGCACATGTATTCTGCAGGGGTTATACTATTGCATCTCTAGAGGTGAATAAATAATAAATACGGCCGCAAACTTGGGGAAGGATGTCAATTAGACCCCAGACACAAGTTTCACAACTGCCTTCCCCGCAGCATGGCTGCCTGAAGAAAGTAGATCTGATTATAATAAAACATGTGTGTTCTTCAAGAAATTCCCACATACTCGGAATATAAATGTTCCTCAATTTAGCTTCCGCCAACTTCAAATCAGAGAGCACCCAGATCCTCTGCTCCGCTCAATCCAAAACTCTGTTAGGAGATCTTTGTATTTGATTTCTGCTGCTTACACACACACACACACACACACACACACACACACACACACACCCTCCCCCACCACCAGTTCTTTTTACTTTTATCCCTTAAACGCGTCACACACAGTGTTTTCACTTCAACTGCCAGATACTAAGATTCTGACTCAATTCGGTGACTTATGTATTTAGATTTCCTCTTCAAATATAGTAACTTAAGGTTAAGAGAAAGAAAAGCATCCACCAATTTATTGTGAGGTACTTCGGGTTCAGTGACTCACATTCCCTCGCTTTGTAAACGAAACGTTTAACTCTTGATTCGTTCAGCTAAATTTGATTTAGTCAGCACCCTCACTTCTTGGCCTTCCCTCTTCCGCTAAACGGTTGGAGGAAGGCGCTGCGTAAAATTAAGTACTTTATTTGCAGTGGGTGTGTGGTTTTCCTAAGTCACCACAGGGACGTAGTATTATCCTAACGACTCTAAACATTTCTTGAGATGCCTTTTCTATCAGGACAGAGCAGTTGCGCCTTGGGGAAGAGGGCTCGCTGGTGCCTTCCTTAAATAATAGAAAGGGGCAGATTGCGTGTGCGGCGATCAGGTACTGTGCTCCCTTCAGACCCCAGAAGCTCTTACCGCACTCTGGGGACAGTGATCGCCCCGGGGAAAGCAGTAGAAGGTAGAGGCGGAGCCAGAGTGATAACGGTGTGGGCGGGGGAGGGGGTAGAGAAGGAGGGGTACCGGAGGAGAGGGCAATAAAGATGCCTAGGGAATGGGCGACTGTACGAGTCTGCTGGGGGAGGTTGGGGGGGGGTGGTTGGAAAAGCAGAGTTGCTTTGTCAGCATTTCTAAACCCCGAACTCTTGAGTATCTGAAGCTGTTAATCAAACACTTACTGGCCTGCAGAATGACGTAATGGACCTGTATCCAGCCTTTATTCCTTGACACATGTCAGAGAGGGAGGGAAAAATAAAAATCGAACACACTCTGAGGACTCTGACAACGCAACCTACAAGCAACCCACTCCAGTTCCTGGCCTTGAACGAGCATCAAGTGGGGGGTGGCACCCGTTCAGGGAAAGTTGGGGAGGGGGTGGACAAGGTCTGGGGCTTTATCTACCGGATACTCCCTCCCCCAGGAAGTAATTCTATGGCAAAGAAGAAGCGGGATGCAGCTGCCGGGAGAAAACGTGTCCTTGGTTCCTTCGCGCCTCTTTGCCCCCTCTAAGAACTTCATGAAAAGTTTAAGTGGTTGCGTGGAGAAATCTGCAGGAGAGGAAGGCTCCGCCGCCGGGTCCTGGGAACTGCCACCGCGCTGCCGCGGCAAAACCCGGAGCTGTCATTTGGGGCAGCGGCGGGGAAGAGGTAATGATGCCAGCGAGAACCGGACGGAGGCAGGAGACGACTGCTGGAGTGAAAGCGAACAGAGCCGCGCCACTCTCGAGCCTTCCGCGCCTGGGGCGAAAGCCAAGTGCCCTTCAAGGGCCACGTCCCCTCCCCGGGTGCGCGCGCCCACCAGCTGCGGCGGGCCGCCCTGCGGGAGAGGTGGCAGCAGCAGGCTCGGCACCGGGAGGGAGCGAGCGCCCCGCGCGCCCGCCCGCCCCCTAGGTGACCCGGCGTCCTCGCCGCGCCCGCTGGAAGTTTGCAAACTTTCTCCGGGGGTTCCGCCGCATCACCGGGAAGTTGGGGACGCGGGGGGAGGTTCCTGGCTCGCCGTCTCCGCTGCCACCGCCGCTGCCTCCGCTCGACCGCACTTCTGGAGGGTTCCGCACCTTGCCAGGTCTCTGGAGGCAAACACACACCCCCGATTCATAACTGTTCCCCGTGTCAGGGAAACACACGCGCGTTCCCACACACGCACCACGCCGGGGAAGACACTGCGCTCGCTTCACGTTAGCATCCCTCCAGTCGCACGGCGCGGCGGCCACTGAGACGCGCTCCAGAACCGACACGGCGTGGGGTCTCTGGGGTGGCCTCGGGACACAACAGAATTCCACAGTCCACCAGCATTTGGGGCCGGACTTCCCTCTGGTCCGCCAAAGTGTTTACAAACACAGATCACCCTCCAAAAAAAAAAAAAAAATGCATCGCATCTTCCCTACGCCTTGCCCTGTGACCTGCCCACTGGACCAAGTAATCTCGCGGCTGCTGCCGAGAACCAACCCCTGCAAACCAAGTACGCTCCCGAGATGGCTCCCGCGGCAAGTGCAACAAAAGTAGCTAAATGCAAAAGCCCCAGAAGTGGCCGAGCCGTATTTTTAGGAACTTACCAAACAAGTGTGGAGAAGGCAAGAGCGGAGCCCGGGTGAAGGGACCACGTTGGACTGAGCAAAGATTACAATACATTCTATTTAGAGTGCATTACATCACCCCCCCGGTGACGTCACGTGGGATTCCTGAACTTCTAAATCATTGCGGTCCGCGGGGGAGGGAGAGGAGGGGCGGGGCCGGCGCGCCAAGGGGGTGGGCCCCGCCCCGGCCCCGCCTCGCCCCCGCCCCCCCAAGAGCGGACCCTGGTGCACCCGCCGGGGAGCGGCGGCCGCGGCGGCGACCGCGCAAGCAACAGCTTGCAGAGCCCAGCGCCGTGTGACACGGCTCCCTGACATTAGTGGTGTGAGTCAGCTTGGAAACAATCCTCACGGTTTCAGACAGGACCACGGAGGAGGCACGGACACAGGCTCTCCAAGGAGGGCCTGGTAGCGTTTGAAAGATGTGGGGATGGGACAGGGGGGTGGGGGGCTGAGGGGGTGCCAAAGGGTGCGGGGAAGAGACTTTCTACAAGCACAAATGCAGAACGCTGCCCCCTTCCCCCACCAGCAGATGTCCACCTCCTTTTTGCCTGCGACAGTCGTGACCTCATTAGAGTGTTCCCTGAATCCTGGCTTCCCAGAACACTCACTCGGCACCCCTTTTCACCATCCCCTACGCCGTCTCACCTCCAAGGGAATAACCTCTTTACTGTGCACCCTCACAAGGAATACACAGCCCCCACCCTTTCCAAGCCCCCTGCTTCGTGTGTCTGAGAAGCTGGAGGGGAGATAGTTTCTCCAGGAGGCGAAAGGTGAATCACAGCTAGAGCCAAGTGATGAGCCTGATTTAGACTCAACGTCAGAGCCGGAAGGGCCCTTGGCGAACACTTCCAGAGCCTCCTCTGTAACTCGCCCAAGCTCACAGGCTGGCAAGTGGCAGAGCCGGAGCCAGAATGCAGGATCCGGGCGTCTGGTCTGCAGTATCTTCCTGACAGCTCCGTTGAGGGAGGGAGCCTGACGTTTTCAGCAGTGGCCAGTCACCATCCCCATCTCCAGCTTAATTTCCATTCGGATTTCTCCTTGTGACTAGGACTCAAAGGTAAGGTATAAGCTAAATTCCAGCGATCCTAGATGACCACTGTCATCCTTGCAGGGGCTCACCTTCACAAAGCACTCGCACCCATGCGAACGCCCCTGCTTCTCACAAGGACTGAGCACAGGAAGCAGAAGTAGGACAGGTGTTCTTATCCCCCATTTTACAGGTGAGCTAAGGCAGGCTCCAGGAAGCTAGGTACCTGGCCCGAAGTTAGTTGGGTAAGTAGTGGCACCACAACCCCTGTTTTCAAACCCCAGATCCCAGCTGGGTTCCCTTCTAGAACCAGGATGGGAGCATTCCGTTCTCATGGGTTATTTGGTAGTTAGGATCTCTGCTACGGACGTGTTGGCTGGGAGTCAGAGTTTTGCTTAGGAACAGTTTAGCCCCCATTAACAAACAATAATCATTTCTGACATTTATGTAACATCTAACATTTATATAGCGCCTCTTATCCCAGTGCATCATAACCATGACTGTGCAGTTTGCCAGAGAATCATGACTGGACTGGCTAGAAACTGTGATGCTTTGCCCGGATCATCACATAGTACTTTCTGAGCTGGTTTTGGTATCCTAAATCGAAGAGTCTGTATTTCCTTTCTGCTTTTAAGTGTTTAAACAACTCCCTGCCCTTCAGTGTTCCTTGAGACCATAGGGACTAGCGACTCTTTGTTTCTTACAGCCTTATTCAAAGTTCATCACTGAGTTTTCTATTTGTTCTTTTCCACATGTAACCCCGAAGGAACTGCAAAAGAAGGGCTCTAGTCCTAACTTGAAATCTTCACCAATAAAAGTTTAAATATGACAGCTCAATTCACTGGGTTTACAGCAGAAAGAAATAGCCTACTGAGGAACAGCCTTCTTGCCCACCTTCCCACTCAATAATGAGGATAGCCTTTTCCACCCAAAGCAGGTAGTCTACCTACTTCTCTAGCAAAGAAGTGTGAGCCAAACAAGGAACAAACCTGAGACCAAAGCTTGAAAAGCTTAATATATCAGAGCTCAGTCAGAGAGCTAATCTTTTTTCCCCGTTGACCAAAGGAATAAAATGGAGAACTGAATAAACAAAAATGAAGTGATAAAATACTTAAACCCCTGTAAGCAGTTAATCAACGTATAAATTTAAAACATTTAATTCTCAGTATTCTCTAAACAAAAGCATATACACACACACACACACACACACACACACACACATATATATATACACACACACGTATACATATGAGTTTTAATGCAAGTAGTTCATCAATTTCTAATACTATCCAAATCATTTGTTCATCTTTAACAATGGTTGCTGGTCTTGCATGTTTGACATGCTTCCACTAGGTAAACAATGCTGTCTGAGCCATGATTGACAAAGGAATACGCAGGTAGCTTTTCCAATAACTTCCCCAATACCTTGATAATCATTAGGCTACATTGGGTCTCAGTAGGTAGAGAATTTCTCATAATATCACCAATATTGTTCATAATATTGTTCATGGTGAACATAGCATCTGCTGAACTGATAGCAATTTCATTCAAAATACCCATCCATTGTATTATAGGGTATGTATATATATCTCAAATCTTTGTTGCCATCTAAGTCATGCACACAAACTTTTTGAATGTAAATTAAGGAAGAGACATAGTCTCTCTGACTTTGGTCTCTAATGTCAGGCTGCCTGAGTTCAAACCATGGCTTTGCTACTTGAGTTTTAACTAACCTCTGGGTCTCCAATTCCTCATCTACGTAATAAGGTGATAATTATAGGAACTCAAATAAGTTAAGAGCTGTGCTTGGCACAGGACAAATACTATATAAGTATTTGTCCTCATTCTCATTTTGTATTAATGAAAGTAATGTGGCTGATGTCGTGATAGTAGGGCATTTGGTGATTTTAACAAAGTTGGGCAAATAAATGAAAAGAGAACCTGTTTCTCCATATTTCTCCCAACCCCAACACTAACCTCTGTATGCACCATCTGTACAAAAGAGGCTCTCATCTGTCAAATCATACCCATAGAGCCCTCATGTTTGTAGACTCAAATTCCTGTATGGCTCATATTCACCTACTCTCCTCCAGGATCCCTCAGAGCCAAAGTCCCATGGAAACTGAAGTTCCCAGAAGCAGCCATGAAGAGCATCTCTAGGGGTAGGTACTTTGGCTGGTGGTGGCCATAACCTGAGAATTTTCCAGTAGGAAAATTCTACTACTGGAAAATTCTCACCTCCAGGAATCTCATCTCACCCACTGGGACTCCATCCATTATGGCCTCACGGACACATGGAGATGGGGATCTTGATAACAGAGTCAAAGTAAACTGCCTGGGGTACCACCCACCCAAGGTCCTCCTTCCCAATCCCACCCCCCCGAAAGGGTAGGGGCACATGCAGGGCACAAGCCCACTGGTAAGGTATCACGCTGGTTACACCTATGAGGGGCTGACTGGCACCTTTATTGGCCAGTGAGATTGGATGAGACCCCATGCTAGACAAATGGTTAACCCTTTAGTTAGTGGGCCAGAGGGCAGTCCAAGGGAGCCTTGGGCCAGTGGGATAGCACAGAGCCTAGAGTAGTGGGTAATTACTAACCCCTATGGAAGAATTTTCATATTTTAATATATTTACAGCCTTACCAGTGCTTACCCACTGAATATTAGGCCTGAACAGAACCATCCCAAGGGTCCTCAGATGAGGAAGAATCCTTTAGCCTTGTGCTTTGGATTCTGTCATTTCTCCAACATTCGACAAAGGGTGGCAGGTCTACCAGGTGCTGGGGATTAAAAAAAGAAAAAGGTCTTCCCAGTTTCTAGGCTCCCACAGAAGTTATCAAACCTAGCAACATAAGAAGCACTTGGGCAACTTGTTAGGCAATTTTTTTGGGTCAGACTTCCCCCAGGGATTTCAGTTCAAAGCTCTGGCACTGAGCTCAGGATTCTGCATTTGTGATTCTGATGCAAGTGCTTGGCGACCCCACTTTGAGTGACTCTGGTTTAGTAAATTCATAGATGGGCAGTGACCCAGGAGAAAGCTGGGGAAGGAACAGAAGAGTCTGCTACCTGCAACACTAAATATATATATACATATATATATTCATATATGTGTGTGCATGTATATATATATGTATATATTCATATATATATATATATGTGTGTGTGTGTGTGTGTGTGTGTATTTATTTATTTATTTATTCATTTATTTATTTATTTATTTATGACCCAGGGATCATATACTTAAGATCAGTCCTCTAGCTGCTTCCCATAAAGACACATATACTCCTAGAGAAGGCTTCTCCTCATCCCTTCCACAAGTATCCATTGAGAGGGACCTTTTCCATTTATTTTTCCATTCGAGGCTTTTCTTAACTGAACAGTTAACAGTGGTAGTGGAAAGGATGCTAGGTGTGTGGTTAAACCCCTGGCTGTGCTCCACCGGAAGTTTCTCTCTCTTCTAAGATGAATCTTCACCAGGTTTCTTCATTATCTTATTTGAAAGGATAAAGATTTTCAAACAAGTGGAACTGCAAAATGCATCCAGAAGACGGCAACAACCACAACATGGCTAGCTAACATTTCCGAAGCATTTACTACGTGCCATGCCCTAGGCTAAGTCTTTTATGTGTATCCTTTCAGTTATTCCTCAAAATAACCCTATGAGGTGTCTGATACCATTCTCGTTTTGTGAAGAGAAGATAGTCTTAGAGCAGTGAATAACTTGCCCAGGATTGCACGTCTAGAGCACGGCCGAGGTGGGAGAGACACCCAGATCACTGGTACCAATCCCAGCACGTGCTGGAAGCCTGATGGGGCACGGAGCATGGGTAGATGCAGAGATTCTGCAGTGTGCCAGCTGTTCCCTCCCACCTCATTTGCATGTAGTGTTCCTGATGCT